TTTGTTTTGATTTGAATGTGTTTTGATTTGAATGGTATGTTTTGGTTTGAATTTGTTTTGATTTGAATGTGTTTTGATTTGAATTTGTTTTGATTTGAATTTGTTCTGATTAGAATTTGTTTTGATTAGAATTTGTTTTGGTATGTTTTGATTTGAATTTGTTTTGATTTGAATGTGTTTTGATTTGAATGTGTTTTGATTTGAATTTGTTTTGATTTGAATTTGTTTTGATTTGAATGTGTTTTGATTTGAATTTGTTTTGATTTGAATTTGTTTTGATTAGAATTTGTTTTGATTTTTTTTTTATTTGAATTTGTTTTGATTTGAATGTGTTCTGATTTGAATGTGTTTTGATTTGAATTTGTTTTTATTTGAATGTGTTTAGATTTGAATTTGTTTTGATTTGAATTTGTTTTGATTTGAATGCGTTTTGATTTGAATTTGTTTTGGTATGTTTTGGTTTGAATTTGTTTTGATTTGAATGTGTTTTGATTTGAATTCGTTTTGATTTGAATTTGTTTTGATTTGAATGTGTTTTGATTTGAATTTGTTTTGATTTGAATTCGTTTTGGTATGTTTTGGTTTGAATTTGTTTTGATTTGAATGTGTTTTGATTTGAATGTGTTTTGATTTGAATGTGTTTTGATTTGAATGTGTTTTGATTTGAATTTGTTTTGATTTGAATTTGTTTTGATTTGAATTTGTTTTGATTTGAATTGAATTTGTTTTGATTTGAATTTGTTTTGATTTGAATTCGTTTTGGTATGTTTTGGTTTGAATTTGTTTTGATTTGAATGTGTTTTGATTTGAATTTGTTTTGATTTGAATTTGTTTTGATTTGAATTTGTTTTGATTTGAATTTGTTTTGATTTGAATTTGTTTTGATTTGAATTTGTTTTGATTTGAATTTGTTTTGATTTGAATTTGTTTTGGTATGTTTTGATTTGAATGTGTTTTGTTTTGAATGGGTTTGATTTGAATGTGTTCTGATTTTAATGTGTTTTGGTTTGAATTTGTTTTGATTTGAATGTGTTTGATTTTAATGTGTTTTGATTTGAATGTGTTCTGATTTGAATGTGTTTTGGTTTGAATTTGTTTTGATTTGAATTTGTTTTGATTTGAATTTGTTTTGATTTGAATTTGTTTTGATTTGAATTTGTTTTGATTTGAATTTGTTTTGATTTGAATTTGTTTTGATTTGAATTGATTTGAATGTGTTTTTGTTTTGATTTGAATTTGTTTTGATTTGAATGTGTTTTGATTTGAATTTGTTTTGATTTGAATTTGTTCTGATTAGAATTTGTTTTGATTAGAATTTGTTTTGGTATGTTTTGATTGGAATTTGTTTTGATTTGAATGTGTTTTGATTTGAATCTGTTTTGATTAGAATTTGTTTTGATTTGAATTTGTTTTGATTTGAATTTGTTCTGATTAGAATTTGTTTTGATTTGAATTTGTTTTGATTTGAATTTGTTTTGATTTGAATGTGTTCTGATTTGAATGTGTTTTGATTTGAATTTGTTTTGATTTGAATGTGTTCTGATTTGAATTTGTTTTGATTTGAATTTGTTTTGGTATGTTTTGGTTTTAATTTGTTTTGATTTGAATGTGTTTTGATTTGAATTTGTTTTGATTTGAATTTGTTTTGATTTGAATTCGTTTTGATTTGAATTTGTTTTGATTTGAATGTGTTTTGATTTGAATGCGTTTTGATTTGAATTCGTTTTGGTATGTTTTGGTTTGAATTTGTTTTGATTTGAATGTGTTTTGATTTGAATGTGTTCTGATTTGAATCTGTTTTGATTTGAATGTGTTTTGATTTGAATCTGTTTTGATTTGAATTTGTTTTGATTTGAATTTGTTTTGATTTGAATTTGTTCTGATTAGAATTTGTTTTGATTAGAATTTGTTTTGATTAGAATTTGTTTTGATTTGAATTTGTTTTGATTTGAATGTGTTTTGATTTGGTATGTTTTGATTTGAATTTGTTTTGATTTGAATGTGTTCTGATTTGAATGTGTTTTGATTTGAATTTGTTTTGATTTGAATGTGTTTTGATTTGAATTTGTTTTGATTTGAATTTGTTTTGATTTGAATTTGTTTTGATTTGAATTTGTTTTGATTTGAATTTGTTTTGATTTGAATTTGTTTTGATTTGAATTTGTTTTGATTTGAATTTGTTTTGATTTGAATTTGTTTTGATTTGAATTTGTTTTGATTTGAATTTGTTTTTATTTGAATTTGTTTTGATTTGAATTTGTTTTGGTATGTTTTGATTTGAATGTGTTTTGTTTTGAATGGGTTCTGATTTGAATGTGTTCTGATTTTAATGTGTTTTGGTTTGAATTTGTTTTGATTTGAATGTGTTCTGATTTTAATGTGTTTTGATTTGAATGTGTTTTGGTTTGAATTTGTTTTGATTTGAATTTGTTTTGATTTGAATTTGTTTTGATTTGAATTTGTTTTGATTTGAATTTGTTTTGATTTGAATTTGTTTTGATTTGAATTTGTTTTGGTGTGTTTCGATTTGAATGTGTTTTGTTTTGGTTTGAATTTGTTTTGATTTGAATGTGTTTTGATTTGAATTTGTTTTGATTTGAATTTGTTCTGATTAGAATTTGTTTTGATTAGAATTTGTTTTGGTATGTTTTGATTGGAATTTGTTTTGATTTGAATGTGTTTTGATTTGAATCTGTTTTGATTTGAATTTGTTTTGATTTGAATTTGTTTTGATTTGAATTTGTTTTGATTTGAATTTGTTTTGATTTGAATGTGTTTTGATTTGAATTTGTTTTGATTTGAATGTGTTCTGATTTGAATGTGTTTTGATTTGAATTTGTTTTGGTATGTTTTGGTTTGAATTTGTTTTGATTTGAATGTGTTCTGATTTGAATGTGTTTTGATTTGAATTCGTTTTGGTATGTTTTGGTTTGACTTTGTTTTGATTTGAATGTGTTTTGATTTGAATTCGTTTTGATTTGAATGTGTTCTTATTTGAATGTGTTTTGGTTTGAATTTGTTTTGATTTGAATTTGTTTTGATTTGAATTTGTTTTGATTTGAATTTGTTTTTTGTTTGAATGTTTTGTTTATGATTTGAATTTGTTTTGATTTGAATTTGTTTTGATTTGAATTTGTTTTGATTTGAATTTGTTTTGGTGTGTTTTGATTTGAATGTGTTTTGTTTTGGTATGTTTTGGTTAGAATTTGTTTTGATTTGATTTGAATGTGTTTTGATTTGAATTTGTTTTGGTATGTTTTGGTTTGAATTTGTTTTGATTTGAATGTGTTTTGATTTGAATTTGTTTTGATTTGAATGTGTTCTGATTTGAATGTGTTTTGATTTGAATGTGTTTTGATTTGAATTCGTTTTGGTATGTTTTGGTTTGAATTTGTTTTGATTTGAATGTGTTTTGATTTGAATGTGTTCTGATTTGAATTTGTTTTGATTTGAATGTGTTCTGATTAGAATTTGTCTTGATTAGAATTTGTTTTGGTATGTTTTGGTTCGAATTTGTTTTGATTTGAATTTGTTTTGGTATGTTTTGGTTTGAATTTGATTTGAATGTGTTTTGTTTTGGTATGTTTTGGTTTGAATTTGTTTTGATTTGAATTTGTTTTGATTTGAATTTGTTCTGATTTGAATTTGTTTTGATTTGAATGAGTTCTGATTTTAATGTGTTTTGATTTGAATGTGTTCTGATTTGAATGTGTTTTGGTTTGAATTTGTTTTGATTTGAATTTGTTTTGATTTGAATTTGTTTTGATTTGAATTTGTTTTGATTTGAATTTGTTTTGATTTGAATTTGTTTTGATTTGAATTTGTTTTGATTTGAATTTGTTTTGATTTGAATTTGTTTTGATTTGAATTTGTTTTGATTTGAATTTGTTTTGATTTGAATTTGTTTTGATTTGAATTTGTTTTGATTTGAATTTGTTTTGATTTGAATTTGTTTTGATTTGAATTTGTTTTGATTTGAATTTGTTTTGATTTGAATTTGTTTTGGTATGTTTTGATTTGAATGTGTTTTGTTTTGAATGGGTTCTGATTTGAATGTGTTCTGATTTTAATGTGTTTTGGTTTGAATTTGTTTTGATTTGAATGTGTTCTGATTTTAATGTGTTTTGATTTGAATGTGTTCTGATTTGAATGTGTTTTGGTTTGAATTTGTTTTGATTTGAATTTGTTTTGATTTGAATTTGTTTTGATTTGAATTTGTTTTGATTTGAATTTGTTTTGATTTGAATTTGTTTTGGTGTGTTTCGATTTGAATGTGTTTTGTTTTGGTTTGAATTTGTTTTGATTTGAATGTGTTTTGATTTGAATTTGTTTTGATTTGAATTTGTTCTGATTAGAATTTGTTTTGATTAGAATTTGTTTTGGTATGTTTTGATTGGAATTTGTTTTTATTTGAATGTGTTTAGATTTGAATTTGTTTTGATTTGAATTTGTTTTGATTTGAATGCGTTTAGATTTGAATTTGTTTTGGTATGTTTTGGTTTGAATTTGTTTTGATTTGAATGTGTTTTGATTTGAATTCGTTTTGATTTGAATGTGTTCTTATTTGAATGTGTTTTGGTTTGAATTTGTTTTGATTTGAATTTGTTTTGATTTGAATTTGTTTTGATTTGAATTTGTTTTGGTGTGTTTTGATTTGAATGTGTTTTGTTTTGGTATGATTTGGTTTGAATTTGTTTTGATTTGAATTTGTTTTGATTTGAATTTGTTTTGATTTGAATTTGTTTTGTTTTGGTATGTTTTGGTTAGAATTTGTTTTGATTTGATTTGAATGTGTTTTGATTTGAATTTGTTTTGGTATGTTTTGGTTTGAATTTGTTTTGATTTGAATGTGTTTTGATTTGAATTTGTTTTGATTGAATGTTGTTCTGATTTGAATGTGTTCTGATTTGAATTTGTTTTGTGTTTTGATGAATTTGTTTGATTTGAATGTGTTGTTTTGATTTGAATTTCGTTTTGGATTTTTAGTTGTTTTGGTGTGAATGTTAGGGGGTTGGTGGGTTTGTGTGGGGGTGTTTGGGGGTTGTAGGGGGTGGGGGGTGTTGTTTTGTGTTGGGTTGTATTGTGTATGTTTTGGAAGTTGTTTGGTTTTGGAATGAGTTCGCTGATGTTAATGTGTTTTGATGTTGGAATGTGTTCTGATTGGATTTGTTTGATTTGAATTTGGGGTTGGTAGTTTGATTTGTTTGGTTGGGGTTTTGGTTTGGTTGTTTTTGAGTTGTAGTGTTGTTGTTTGGTTGGTTGGAGGTTGGTTTTTTGTTGATTTGTTGTGTTGGTGTGTTGGTATGTGTTGCGTGTGTGTTTGTGGGGTGGGTTTTTGGGTTTTAGTTATTGTGTTGTTGTGAATTGGGGTTTGTTTTGTTGTAGTTTTGTATGTTTTGGTTTGAATTGGTTTTGATTTGAATGTGTTCTGATTTAATTGTTTTGATTTGAATGTGTTTGATTTGCATGTGTTTTTGATTAATTTCGTTTTGTATGTTTTTGGTTTTGACTTTGTTTTGATTTGAATGTTTTGATTTGGAATGTGTTTATTTGGAATGTGTTTTTGGATTTGAATGTTTTGATTTGAATTCGTTTTGTTATGTTTTGGGGTTGACTTTGTTTGGTATTAATGTTTTTGTTTTGAATGTATTCGATTTGAATTTTTTGATTTTGAATGTGTTCTGATTAGAATTTGTCTTGAAATAGAAGTTGTTTTGGGATGGTGGTTCGAATTGGTGTGTTGGATTTGGAATTTGTTTTTTGTATTTTTTTTTTGTTGAATTTGTTTTGATTGTGTTTTGTTTTGGTATGTTTGTTGTGTATTGGGGTTTGATTTGGTATTTGTTTTGTGAGGTGGTTATTGTTAGAGTTGTTGTGGTTTGTTTTGAATGAGTGCTGATTTTAATGTTTTTGTTTTGAAATGTTTATGATTTGTATGTGTTTGGTTAGAATTTGGTTTGATTGGGTATGTTTGGGAGTGAATTGGGTTTTGGGATTTTGTTTTGATTTGATTTTGTTATTATTTATTTGTTTTGATTGAATTTTGTTTTTGTTTTGAATTTTGTTTGATTTGAATTTGTTTGATTTGATTGTTGTTTGGTTTTGTTTTGATGGTGTTGTGAATTAGTGTTGGGAGGGTTGGTTTGAATTTGTTTTGTTTGAATTTGTGTTGATTTGAATTTTTTGTTTGAATTTTTGGTGTTGGGGTTTAGGGTGGGGTGTTGTGATGGGGGGGGTGTGTTGTTGGGGGGTTGTTGTTGGTGGTTGGGTGGGGGTGGGTTTGGTTTGGGGTGTTTTGGGGTTGGGGAGGGGTTGGTTTGGTGGGATTTGTATTAGTGTGGTTTGGGTTTGGTTTGAATTGTTTTGATTTGTTGTTTTTGATTGAAATTTGTTTTTTTTGATTTCTTTTTTGGTATGTTTTTGGTTTGAATTTGTTTTGATTGAATGTGTTAGATTTAATTGGTTGATTTGAATTTTGTTTTGTATGTTTTGGTGTTGTCGTTGGGGTTTGATGGGTTGTTGTTTGATTTGAATTGTTCTGATTTGAATTTGTTTTGATTTGAATTGTTCTGAATTAAATTTGGTATCGATTAAATTTGTTTTGTAGGTGTTGGTTCAATTTGTTTGGATTTGATTTTGTTTTGTATGTTTTGGTGTGAATTTGATTTTAAGGTGGTTTGTTGGTAAATGGGTTTGGTTGGAATTTGTTTTGTTTTTATTTGAATTTGTTCTGATTTGATTTGTTTTTGATTTGAATGATTCTGATTTTAATGGTTTTGATTTGAAGTGTATGATTTGAATTTTTTGTTGAATTTGTTTTGAGGTGGAATTTGTTTTGATTTGAATTTTTTTTGAGTTGTGTATGTTTTGTGATTTGAATTGGTTTTTGAGTTAATTTGTTGTTGATTTTGATTTTGGTTGTAGGTTTGATGTGTAATGTTTGTTTTTGGTAGTTTTGGTAGGATTGTGGGGTTTGTTTGTGTTGGGGTTGGGTTTGATGGGTTTTTGATTGGGTTTGTTGTGAATAGTGTTTTGTTTGTATGGTTTTTTTATTGTGTTGGTATTTATGTGTTTGGAGTTGATGAGTTGTGATGTGGGTATGTGGGGGTGTTGTATGGGGTTGATGGGTTTTAGTGGTGTTTTGTATTTTTTTTGGTTGGTGTTTGGGGTTGGGGGTGTTGGTTGTTTGGGGGGGTGGGTTGAGGTGTGGGTTTGGGGGTTGAGGTGGGTTGGTGTAGTTGTGTTGATTTGAACATTCAAATCAAAACAAATTCAAACCAAAGCATACCAAAACAAATTCAAAATCAAAACGCATTCAAATCAAAACAAATTCAAATCAAAACAAATTCAAATCTAAAACACATTCAAATAAAAACAAATTCAAATCAAAACGAATTCAAATCAAAACACATTCAAATCAAAACAAATTCAAATCAAAACGAATTCAAATCAAAACACATTCAAATCAAAACAAATTCAAACCAAAACATACCAAAACAAAACACATTAAAATCAAAACAAATTCAAATCAAAACGAATTCAAATCAAAACACATTCAAATCAAAACAAATTCAAACCAAAACATACCAAAACAAAACACATTCAAATCAAAACATACCAAAACAAATTCAAATCAAAACAATTCAAATCAAAACAAATTCAAATCAAAACAAATTCAAATCAAAACAAATTCAAATCAAAACAAATTCAAATCAAAACAAATTCAAACCAAAACACATTCAAATCAGAACACATTCAAATCAAAACACATTAAAATCAGAACTCATTCAAATCAAAACAAATTCAAATCAGAACAAATTCAAATCAAATCAAAACAAATTCAAACCAAAACATACCAAAACAAAACACATTCAAATCAAATTCAAACCAAAACATACCAAAACAAATTCAAATCAAAACAAATTCGAACCAAAACATACCAAAACAAATTCTAATCGAGACAAATTCTAATCAGAACACATTCAAATCAAAACAAATTCAAATCAGAACACATTCAAATCAAAACACATTCAAATCAAAACAAAGTCAAACCAAAACATACCAAAACAAATTCAAATCAAAACACATTCAAATCAGAACACATTCAAATCAAAACAAATTCAAACCAAAACATACCAAAACGAATTCAAATCAAAACAAATTCAAATCAAAACACATTCAAATCAAAACAAATTCAAACCAAAACATACCAAAACGAATTCAAATCAAAACACATTCAAATCAAATCAAAACAAATTCAAACCAAAACATACCAAAACAAAACACATTCAAATCAAAACACACCAAAACAAATTCAAATCAAAACAAATTCAAATCAAAACAAATTCAAATCAAAACAAATTCAAATCAAAACAAATTCAAATCAAAACAAATTCAAATCAAAACAAATTCAAACCAAAACATACCAAAACGAATTCAAATCAAAACAAATTCAAATCAAAACAAATTCAAATCAAAACAAATTCAAATCAAAACAAATTCAAATCAAAACAAATTCAAATCAAAACAAATTCAAATCAAAACAAATTCAAATCAAAACAAATTCAAATCAAAACAAATTCAAATCAAAACAAATTCAAATCAAAACAAATTCTAACCAAAACACATTCAAATCAGAACACATTCAAATCAAAACACATTAAAATCAGAACTCATTCAAATCAAAACAAATTCAAATCAGAACAAATTCAAATCAAAACAAATTCAAATCAAAACAAATTCAAACCAAAACATACCAAAACAAAACACATTCAAATCAAATTCAAACCAAAAAATACCAAAACAAATTCAAATCAAAACAAATTCGAACCAAAACATACCAAAACAAATTCTAATCAAGACAAATTCTAATCAGAACACATTCAAATCAAAACAAATTCAAATCAGAACACATTCAAATCAAAACACATTCAAATCAAAACAAAGTCAAACCAAAACATACCAAAACGAATTCAAATCAAAACACATTCAAATCAAAACACATTCAAATCAAAACACATTCAAATCAAAACACATTCAAATCAAAACAAAGTCAAACCAAAACATACCAAAACGAATTCAAATCAAAACACATTCAAATCAAAACACATTCAAATCAAAACACATTCAAATCAGAACACATTCAAATCAAAACAAATTCAAACCAAAACATACCAAAACGAATTCAAATCAAAACAAATTCAAATCAAAACACATTCAAATCAAAACAAATTCAAACCAAAACATACCAAAACGAATTCAAATCAAAACACATTCAAATCAAATCAAAACAAATTCAAACCAAAACATACCAAAACAAAACACATTCAAATCAAAACACACCAAACAAATTCAAATCAAAACAAATTCAAATCAAAACAAATTCAAATCAAAACAAATTCAAATCAGAACACATTCAAATCAAAACACATTAAAATCAGAACTCATTCAAATCAAAACAAATTCAAATCAGAACAAATTCAAATCAAAACAAATTCAAATCAAAACAAATTCAAACCAAAACATACCAAAACAAAACACATTCAAATCAAATTCAAACCAAAACAAATTCAAATCAAAACAAATTTGAACCAAAACATACCAAAACAAATTCTAATCAAGACAAATTCTAATACGAACACATTCAAATCAAAACAAATTCAAATCAGAACACATTCAAATCAAAACACCATTCAAATCAAAACAAATTCAAACCAAAACATACCAAAACGAATTCAAATCAAAACACATTCAAATCAAAACACATTCAAATCAGAACACATTCAAATCAAAACAAATTCAAACCAAAACATACCAAAACGATTTCAAATCAAAACAAATTCAAATCAAAACACATTCAAATCAAAACAAATTCAAACCAAAACATACCAAAACGAATTCAAATCAAAACACATTCAAATCAAATCAAAACAAATTCAAACCAAAACATACCAAAACAAAACACATTCAAATCAAAACACACGAAAACAAATTCAAATCAAAACAAATTCAAATCAAAACAAATTCAAATCAAAACAAATTCAAATCAAAATAAATTCAAATCAAAACAAATTCAAATCAAAACAAATTCAAATCAAAACAAATTCAAACCAAAACATACCAAAACGAATTCAAAACAAAACACATTCAAATCAAAACACACCAAAATAAATTCAAATCAAAACAAATTCAAATCAAAACAAATTCAAATCAAAACAAATTCAAATCAAAACAAATTCAAATCGAAACAAATTCAAACCAAAACACATTCAAATCAGAACACATTCAAATCAAAACGAATTCAAATCAAAACACATTCAAATCAAAACAAATTCAAACCAAAACATACCAAAACAAATTCAAATCAAAACGCATTCAAATCAAAACAAATTCAAATCAAAACAAATTCAAATCTAAACACATTCAAATAAAAACAAATTCAAATCAAAACACATTCAAATCAGAACACATTCAAATCAAAACAAATTCAAATCAAAACAAATTCTAATCAAAACAAATTCTAATCAGAACAAATTCAAATCAAAACAAATTCAAATCAAAACAAATTCAAATCAAAACAGATTCAAATCAAAACACATTCAAATCAAAACACATTCAAATCAAAACAAATTCCAATCAAAACATACCAAAACAAATTCTAATCAAAACAAATTCTAATCAGAACAAATTCAAATCAAAACAAATTCAAATCAAAACACATTCAAATCAAAACAAATTCAAACCAAAACATACCAAAACGAATTCAAATCAAAACAAATTCAAATCAAAACACATTCAAATCAAAACAAATTCAAATCAAAACATACCAAAACAAATTCTAATCAAAACAAATTCTAATCAGAACAAATTCAAATCAAAAAAATTCAAATCAAAACACATTCAAATCAAAACAAATTCAAACCAAAACATGCCAAAACGAATTCAAATCAAAACACATTCAAATCAAAACAAATTCAAACCAAAACAAAACACATTCAAATCAAAACACACCAAAACAAATTCAAATCAAAACAAATTCAAATCAAAACAAATTCAAATCAAAACAAATTCAAATCAAAACAAATTCAAATCAAAACAAATTCAAATCAAAACAAATTCAAATCAAAACAAATTCAAATCAAAACAAATTCAAATCAAAACAAATTCAAATCAAAACAAATTCAAACCAAAACACATTCAAATCAGAACACATTCAAATCAAAACACATTAAAATCAGAACTCATTCAAATCAAAACAAATTCAAATCAGAACAAATTCAAATCAAAACAAATTCAAATCAAAACAAATTCAAACCAAAACATACCAAAACAAAACACATTCAAATCAAATTCAAACCAAAACAAATTCAAATCAAAACAAATTTGAACCAAAACATACCAAAACAAATTCTAATCAAGACAAATTCTAATACGAACACATTCAAATCAAAACAAATTCAAATCAGAACACATTCAAATCAAAACACATTCAAATCAAAACAAATTCAAACCAAAACATACCAAAACGAATTCAAATCAAAACACATTCAAATCAAAACACATTCAAATCAAAACACATTCAAATCAGAACACATTCAAATCAAAACAAATTCAAACCAAAACATACCAAAACGATTTCAAATCAAAACAAATTCAAATCAAAACACATTCAAATCAAAACAAATTCAAACCAAAACATACCAAAACGAATTCAAATCAAAACACATTCAAATCAAATCAAAACAAATTCAAACCAAAACATACCAAAACAAAACACATTCAAATCAAAACACACCAAAACAAATTCAAATCAAAACAAATTCAAATCAAAACAAATTCAAATCAAAACAAATTCAAATCAAAACAAATTCAAATCAAAACAAATTCAAATCAAAACAAATTCAAATCAAAACAAATTCAAATCAAAACAAATTCAAACCAAAACATACCAAAACGAATTCAAATCAAAAAACATTCAAATCAAATCAAAACAAATTCAAACCAAAACATACCAAAACAAAACACATTCAAATCAAAACACACCAAAACACATTCAAATCAAAACACACCAAAACAAATTCAAATCAAAACAAATTCAAATCAAAACAAATTCAAATCAAAACAAATTCAAATCAAAAAAAATTCAAACCAAAACACATTCAAATCAGAACACATTCAAATCAAAACGAATTCAAATCAAAACACATTCAAATCAAAACAAATTCAAACCAAAACATACCAAAACAAATTCAA